AAAATCACATAGTAATGCAGATGGACTTTCAAGAATGGTATGTCCCCAGTGTGGCATGAAAGATGGGAAAGTCAACGCCATACATGAAAACACTTCAAGGCCACAAGAGTAGCAGATATTGGAGGCGTGGACATCAGAAGAAATCAGAAATATGCAATTGAATGACAAGGACATCAGCCCGATTTTAAAAGCGTTTGAAAGGCATAAACGACCTCAATGGTATGAAATTAGCAAGGAAAGCCCAACAACTAAACATCTGAATTCTCAATGGGACAGGTTGGAAATAAGAGGAGGTATTTTGTACTGTCGCTTTGAATCCGAAATAGGAGACAAGATTACATTTCAAATGGTACTTCCCAAGAGACTGCACAGCGACTTATTGTTTCAATTGCACAGTATGCCAACAGGAGGACATTTAGGGGTAATGAAAACTGTGGAAAAGATCAGAGAAAGATTTTACTGGCACAGTTTGCGCAGCGATGTTAGAAATTGGTGCCATCAATGTGATCAATGTGCATCACGAAAACCAAATCTAAAGAAGAAAAGGGCAAAGATGAAGCTTTATCAAGTCGGAGCTCCCATGGAGAGAATCGCGACAGACATTCTTGGTCCTCTACCCACATCAGGAAAAGGAAACTAATACATCTTGATAGTGGCTGATTATTTTACCAAATGGACAGAGGCCTATGCAATGCCTATTCAGGAAACAGAAACAATTGCTGAGATAGTGAGCAAGGAATTCATTTGTAGATGGGGCTGTCCAATGGCCATGTACAGTGACCAAGGAAGAAATTACGAGTCCAAGGTTTTTCAAGAAGTATGCAAGGCTTTTGGAATTAATAAAACAAGAACCACGCCACTAAGACCATGCTCTGATGGAATGGTTGAACGGTTTAACCGCACACTAGAGAGTATGCTGAGCATGTTCGTAGGAAAGCATCAACGTGATTGGGATGAGTACTTGCCATATTTGATGTTAGCTTATCGCACCTCAGTTCATGACACATCACAATTTACACCATGTGAAATGATGCTTGGAAGGCAATTGAACTTGCCAGTAGATATAGTGTTTGGATCACCACCCGGAGAAAATGATAAAGAGGAGACTGAATATGTAGCAACAATGGAGAACAGAATGGAAAGTGCTCATGCCTTTGCTAGAGAGAGTCTCAAAAAGAACAGTCTGAGACAAAAGAAGAATTATGATATGAGAGCAGGAGATACCATAATGCATGAAGGAGATGCTGTTTGGCTGCATTGTCCAATAAGGAAGCCAGGTATCTCACCAAAATTGCAAAGACCGTATCAAGGACCTTACATAATCACGAAAAGAATAAGTGACATAACGTTTAGGATCCAAAGATCAAAAAGGAGTAAGGCCACTGTAGTCCATATAGACAGACTAAGGCCATACATGGGAGAAAATAAGCCGACTTGGTACAAGAAAAGAGAAGCAGATGTAGACCAAGAAGAAGTAGAACAAGCAGAAAATCCAGCACGTCATGTACAAGATATGCAAAAGGTAATACAAGCAACAACAGAGCCTGTAGAAGTGGAACATAATGAAACTGAGGATGATGGTTCAAATGAAGATGAGGCTGATACACAAATGAATCAAAACGAAGATGATCAAGGAGAATCAGAAGAATTCTATGAAGTAGAGAAGATTCTCGGTAAAAGAAAGAGAAATGGTAAACTAGAGTATTTGTGCAAATGGAAAGGATAGGATTCTTGCCATAATACGTTTTAGCCATTTTCACATTTGAATGAATCTGCAAAGGATTATATTAGGTGTCATGTGATACAAGATGTGAAATGATAAGAGACAATGTTCTCAGCATATTAGTGACCGTCTAGGACAGTTGCAGTAGAGTGAGGAAGATTAAGATACATATTGTTGTAGATAATTGTGTAAATATGTTTTGATGATAGAACCCAAAGGATTTGTTTACAGTTTAACGTGGTTGTGAAGAAATTGGAGAAGATTTTTGGAAACTCAACTATATGTGCTTAGATAAATATTGTAAATGATTACATGAGTTGTTGTCAACTAGTAGGAATTGAAGAATGATTGATGTCGGATGTAAACAACATAGTGGTTTAGGGAAAAAATAGATTGAAGGGGATATATATATTGATGTGTCAAATAACGAGAAGCAACACGTTTTGCAGTTGAATAAACCAACTTTAAATGTTTTCCAAAGTGCGTCATGTAATGCTTCAGATTCAGTAAATAAGTTCTTGCCGTAGAATATGTATTCATGCAAGTAATTGCTTGCCTTAAGGTGGATCGCATAGCTTGAACTAGTGTATGCCGAAGTTTCTTTAGCAATGCCGTTAATGATTATTTGGAAAATGTTGAAAGAAGGTACTTGGTGATCCAGAATCTATGAAGTGTTTACTTGTCTGGCAGTTACATTAAAGGACATTTGAAGGAACGGTTATTTTAAGAAGCTGAATCTTCGGATGTGGTGGATTCGTTTAAGAAGACGACATTATGTATTTTAACTTGATTTGTGTGACTGTGTATGGGATTGTTACCCATTAAAAGCGATTGAACAAAGACTGAATGAATGCGTGAATGTTAACCATGTGAGAAATATGGTGTCCATTTTCTTTGACGGTTTCTTCAACTGATGAAAGTGTGGATGTGAATTTGTGATCAGTTCCCGGGACTATGATCGATTTATTTATCATCAATTAATTTTGATCGATGAACTCTTGTATTGTATATACTAAGTGGATGGGCACGTACAATTGTGTCATGGGGAGGTGTAGTACCTTATAGGAATCATGCTGAAAGTAAGGACAGACAGTTGGATCTGATAGATTTGGTAGCTGCTAAATCAAGTTTCACTGATTATGGTTATGGTGATCCAGGTGATACAACTTGCATAGAGTTGGAATAGTGGAGAATAATCGTTTGGAATAAGAGTACTAGCTTTGGATATATGGAGAGAGTGATACTTGTGGAAACTATTAATGATGATGTGCATAGTTTGGTCTATTGTTTTGTTTGATCACGCACGTATTTTATTAGAGAGGAATATAAAAACTCCAATCCAAGAAATGAAATGACTTGTTAGTAAGGATGTATTTTTGAGCTGTAAATAGGAAAAAACATGTAAAGGAATACAGTATTATTAATGGAGGAATATGCAAGTAGCATTGGAAATATATGATTTGAAGAAGATATGTGATTTGTTATGGCTAGTTAGGCATCGCCCAGCAATGATTTGTCTTAACGAGGACGTTAACTAAAGAAAGGAAGGGGTGAAAGCATCATATCTGAGAATTTCTGTTAAACATTTTTATTGAAATCTGCATTGTACATAGATATTGATCGATATTTTTGAAGATGTTTGATGAATACGTATATAGACCTAACAGAGAGATATCTACTAAGTTACATTGTGAAGCCGAGGCCTTAATTGGTGACCATGTGAAGTTTCTATGAAGTGGATTTGAGTTTTATTTTGAAGACGACTGTGGAATTTTTGAAAATATGAAAATGAAATGTTCCAGTCACATATTTAACTAAATAGAATAGAGGAATATATTAAATGTTAATGACGAGGACGTCAATTTATAAGAGGGGGAGCTATGTAACGGCCTGCTTAACGAAATTATTAATACATAAAGCTTTCGCAGTTGCGGTAGTATGATATTTTAAAGCCTATTCCACTGAAACTCAAAAACGGAGCAACACTTTAAATACGAATCCTGTGTGGTAGACTAATCGGAAATAAACCGGTTTTGTAACTACGAAGAAGCAAACCACGACGGAAAACTCAATTCGAACGCGAGTCGGAAATTATTACTCACGATTGAATCGAATGTTAGATCGCCAGCGTTGTAGGGCGTCAGACGATATCTGGAGGCACGACTACAAGGTAGGGCTATGCACATTTTCTAGGTGAAAGGATTCCTGTTTATGGAGTGGATGTGACATCGGGATAAAGACTTCGTCAACGACGATAGACAGCAATGAGCAACCTAAGATAAAGGATTCGTAAGCTGTGAATCTACAGCAGTCCGTTGGGGTGCCGTAGCAGCTGGAATTCGCTGATCGAAGAAACTATCACCGTAGGATTTCAACACACAGTCAGCCAAGTTCCCCGCCATCTCGAGCAGAACTTTCCACGCTCCTTGAAGAACGATTTCCCCCAACCAAGTGCCTTATATCGTCTCGCATAGCTTTTATTATCTTTTATAGACATTTTGAATAGACATTTCTGTAGTATTATTTTGAAAGACGTTTATAAAGACATTTACATATCTAGAGTAATAGATTAAATTAAAAGCATCATAAATACCATTGTTCTTTCTCTCAGTGCAATATTACTATTTTGATCATAATGTTTTATTGATTGATTTTAAATAAATAAACCTTGTACATATTGTTATATTTTATATTGCTTGTCGTGTTGCATGTTATATTTGATATATCAGGCCCCGTTTAAAAGACCCATTCCCCTCCCCGTTTCGTCCGGTTACAGTACCTTCCTTTTTACTGTAGGGCCTAGCTCTTCAACTTTGGAAATGACTCCCCATTAGGGCGAACTATAAAGATCTTGCAAGAACTTCACATCTTGTATGTTCAATGGAACATTTTGCATCATTTAAATTCACCCCTTATCGTGAGTCATATACAATGAATATAGAAACAGATGATTTTAATGATCGATAGATATTAAGGGTTGTCTTGAAATCGGGAGTTTTGGGATGTCGAATTTAGGGATGTCTTGTAAACTAATAGTTTTTTAACAAAAAATCTGGAGATTCTATGAACAATATTTTTTCTGAAAAATCAGGGATTTTCGAAAATCGGAATTTTGAGTATAAATCGGGATTAGCATTAACTAAACATTCGGATATTCGGGATTTCTCCGAATAAATTAGATATTTGACATTTGTGAGAAATTGTAACATAACATCTAAATATAGTAATTGTACTTTACGTACCTTGAGCGCTCCGTTGAGTGATCGCAAAAGGTTGTATTTGCAATCACCTTGATAGTCATAACGTAAGCCATCGAATGTTGTGTAATGTGGGTCGCCCCATCCACTGCACGTTCCCGGACTGGTTTGGGGCTCTAGAATTGATGTTCAAAATATGCTTCTATATGACACTGCTGAATATTCTAACAAAAAATCAAAATATCGAAAAAAATTGATAAGACACCCCTTCGTCCGCTTGCTAAAATATTGTATAAATATTCAATTCTATTGAGGCGAATACCTTTGCATCTTTCACAAGTGATATTCCACGAAACCCCCAAAAATCAATGCTTGGTTCAAACAAAAGCATAACAATGGTGAATCGTTAAAAATAGCCACGGAGTATTAACGAAATTAAAAAGTTATATTAACTCTGGATTTCCTGAGGGAAGGGGGTACAAAGAACTCCCTAGTGTGAATTTGGTAGTTAGCATTAGTTTTGCCTGACTTCATTGTCATAATTCAATACATCCCAGCAAACAGTGACGTCAATGTCACGTCACTCATATGTCGTATATAAGTTCACTGAAGACGTTGTATATTTCCGTTATATAAACGTCAAAGCAACGTAAAATTGTGACATTCAGCAAAACGTCGGTGGATGGTTAAAAAATGACATTGTAGTAATGTGTTCGTAAAGTTCGTAATTTGTGCTGGTGTGAAAAACGTAACAGGGACGTTGAATTTTTACCAATTTGGTTCATTTGCGACGTAATATAAACGGTAACATTTAACGTTGTCGTAACGTGTTTAAAATGTGTAAAATATTTGTAAGTGTAGGAAACATTACAAAGACGTTGCAGTTCTCACCAAATTGGTTTATTTGCTACGTAATATAAACGGTAAAATTTGACGTTGTAGTAACGTGTTTTATATGTGAAAGATATTTGTCAGTGTAGTAAACGTTACAAAGACGTTGTGTTCTCAGCAAATTTGGTACATTTGCTACGTAATGCAAACGGTAAAATTTGACGTTGTCGTAACGTGTTTTAAAAGTGAAAGATATTTGTAAGTGTAGAAAACGTCACAAAGTCGTCGTGTTCTCACCAAATTTGTTTCATCTGCAACGTAGTGAAAACGGTTAATTGTAACGTTGTCTAAACATGGTTTAAATGTGAAAAATATTTGTTATTGTAAAACACGTTACAAAGACGTCATTTTCTCACCAAACTGGTACATTTGCTTCGTTATGTAAACGGTAAAATTTAACGTTGTCGTAACGTGTTTTAAATGTGAAAGATATTTGCAAATTGGTTCATTTGCAACGTAGTGAAAACGGTTAATTGTAACGTTGTCAAAACATGGTTTGAATGTGAAAAATATGTGTAAGTGTAAAACACGTTACAAAGACGTCATGTGCTCACCAAAATTGTTCATTTTCAACGTAGTGCAAACGGTTAATTTCAACGTTGTCGAAACGTGTTTTAAATGTGAAAAATATTCGTAAGTGCAGAAAACGTTACAAAGACGTTGTGTTCTCAACAGAAATTGGTTTATTTGCAACGTAGTGAAAACGGCTAATTGTAACGTTGTCTAAACATGGTTTGAATGTGAAAAATATTTGTTATTGTAAAACACGTTACAAAGACGTCATTTTCTCACCAAACTGGTACATTTGCTACGTTATGTAAACGGTAAAATTTAACGTTGTCGTAGCGTGTTTTAAATGTGAAAGATATTTGCAAATTGGTTCATTTGCAACGTAGTGAAAACGGTTAATTGTAACGTTGTCAAAACATGGTTTGAATGTGAAAAATATGTGTAAGTGTAAAACACGTTACAAAGACGTCATGTGCTCACCAAAATTGTTCATTTTCAACGTAGTGCAAACGGTTAATTTCAACGTTGTCGAAACGTGTTTTAAATGTAAAAAATATTCGTAAGTGCAGAAAACGTTACAAAGACGTTGTGTTCTCACCAGAAATTGGTTTATTTGCAACGTTGTCGAAACGGTTAATTTTGACGTTGACGAAAGGTGTTTTAAATGTGAAAGATATTTGTAAGTGTAGAAAACGTGACAAAGACGTTGTGGTCTCAACGAATTCGTTTAATTTGTGACGTGAAGTAAATGTTAAATATATAATACATTACATACAGGTATGCCTCGAGTTGTGGTAACTTTAAATACTAATCGGTATAGGCACTACTAATAGGCACAGGAATGTGTTGGCTCACACAGATGAACTTAACGATGTGAGAGTGGAAATATGGATGTAGATAAAACGTTTCTCCGACGTTGTTTTACCGTGGATTATTGCAGACGTTTCGACTGTCAAAAGTTTGACGTTCTGTACGTCTAGAGTCGTGAACAATTAACGTACAACAGTGGTAACAACACTTTGGATCACGTAACTGTTGTATTATCTATCTGATTTGATTCTATTACTACGGTACATGTATTCTAGCAATTGATTGTGTTATTTCGTGATACCATGCATTTTATTTCGTGATAGATGGTAAGCGCCAGTGAGAACAGCGCCATTTTGTTTGAAATTTCCAACGGACAACCGACAATATATTTTAGACATAAAAACCATTATACATCTTAGTTTATTGTCTTTCAATGAAACAGAACACAGTGTCAGGTATATTCCATATGTAGATCAGTCCAAACTGCTAAACAACGACGGTTGGAGCCGATGTCGATGGTTTTATTGGATATTTCGAAAATAAGTTGACATTTTTTTTAGAGAAAACAGCTTTATAGGCCCAGGGTAGGCTAATCGTAAATATCCCATATCAGCAACAAGACGTGAGAACTATTTATCATCAGGATGGCGAATCTGTTTGTTCCCCACATACATTTGGGTAGAGTCATTAGACTCCACGAAACCACAGATGATGAAGGTATAGCAGGAACTTTTTATTTATAATAGTCTACATAAAATGGCAGGTGGATTTTGTATTACCATTTCCTAGACTAATCATAATCTGAAAGCCCATAGTTTCCAATATTGTCTAGATACATACATGTATCCTCTAAAAGATGTATATTTTACATATTTTTATTTAATGTTTGGAACTAGATCTACTTTGAATTTAAAAAATAAGCAATCAAATGGAGACCCTATCTGTTGACTTATGCCTGGCACAACTGTCACCATGTTATTAAGTGTTTTAAGTTTCGTAAGGATCCTGCCATGACCGTGGTACTTTTATCATGATAGCCTGATATAACCGTAACAATGCTATATTTTTATATTGCATGGCCTGTCATGACCGTTGTAATGTTAAAGCTTATCCCGTGCCAGGACTATAGTCCTGCATTGAGCGCAATCTTTTACCTGTACAATTACAACTTGGGAGAATAATCTACGCCCCTTAAACTTAAGATACCTTCAGTTCTTCAATAGATTCCTGGGTATTTTAGCATTCTTTTCGTGTAGCTGAATCCACAATTGTCTGGGTATATCGGCAGAACGGGAACATTTTTCTTTTTCATCGAGGGATATTCCATCACTCTCCAAGATGGCGGTTGGATTTAAAAGGGGATTCCCCATTTTACTGACAATTACACACAATTATTGTGATTAAAAAAGAAAATGTCTTTGTTCTGCCGATAAACCCAGACAATTGTGGATATAATTTGAAATAAAAGTATAAAATAAAGTAACAGTCTTTTAAAGTACTAGTATTGTCCTCTATTTTTCCATCTACCTTTTCTGTTTTCAGGAGTAGGAGATGAACCAGGATGTTGTAGCTTTCACCCATGATAACCCTGAGATGACCCTTGTGTTGAGATGAGTGGTGTTCCATGCTAATCAGGTAGGCCTACATTATCTCTCGGAACACTCAGGAATATTGCAAGTTATCGTAAAATCCTTTATAATCCTGGCAAAAATTCAAACTATTAGCTGACTTATCTATTGTGAACATGTGATATGCATTACTTTAAGGGAAAATAATTTACGATTTAGTGCTGAGTTTCTATCATTTTTCCTTTATCAAAGCATAATATGCAGTAATGCAGGCTTAATCAAGCTTATAATGTGCTTTTAAGGTAGTCCTTCAATGACTTGCGCTATACATTCATTGTGATAGAACAGGGACATTTCAGTCCTTCTCAAAATTATTTTCGTTCGTTAACATATTTTTTCTAGGAAAGTTAAGAGTCATTCTCAGGTATCTACTTTTCTACTGTTCCAATATTTCAAATAAGTATCCAACAGAATATTTTAATAAATCAATCTGTAGTTAGATCATTGGATGAAGATTATCAGAGTCAACGGAGGAATGTTTTGGCTATGTGATTCTAGAAATACAAAAGGATAGTATGAAAAGCTACTAGGGATCTATAAACAGATGAGCATAGGGATTGTTTTACTCAAGAGTAGTCCCAAAAAGTCTCCTGAGACAAAGATCAGATCTGGTGGAAGAAAGATAACACCCCAGGTGCATTTTCAGATAACCAACTAATATAATGTTTATACTAAAAGTCTCTAAAATATTTCAGACAAACTAGCAGTACAAGCAGAATGGAACATTTGACGTTTTTTGAAGTTAGTCAGAAGAGTCCTCTGAGCTTTGGGAGGTGTGAGGAAAGTGACTTCTGTAAGTCCAGGTTAATCTATATTATTCATTATAGTAGTATTTTATATATCATGTATATATATATATTAAGTTTAAGGCAGAATCAAATCTAGCAAGATCCTTGTCATTCTATATTCTAAAAATCTAAAGTGCATACTTTACTTCAGGAATACTAGAGAATTTTACCAAAGAATTTTACAAATATGTATTTTATATGGCTTCCATAGTTTCCCGATTTTTGCACTTTTAATCCTTGATAACTTACTGATTTAGAACACATTGTAGACCTTTGAGACATATTGTATCTGAGATTGTAAAGAATAGATCGCTAGGTCAATTTTGGTTGAAAATGACACTGCAAAATATACAGAGTGGGTATGGGTATACAGGTTACATTTCATACTTTTCAATAGATTGATTTTTTCCAGGAAAATGTTCAAAAACAAGCAGAAATGGCAATGTGTTAAACATGCACCCAGGGAAACAACGACTGAGCTGAGTCATTTAAAGAAACATTTGGGAAGTGATGAGGACCAATGAGAGCTCATGCTTTCAAGGAAAAATG